GCCCCCTCAAGGCCGCGGCGCGGAGTCCGCGAGGCTGTGGGCCCCAGGAGCTGACCTCTTCATACTTGCGGTCGGCATCTTCAGCAATGTGCTTGGCCTCTTTCAGCTGGATCTCCTGAATTTCCATTTTCTCCTCATCCTTTTGGGCTCGGCTTTCAATGACTTTCATGCCTCTGAAAAGGAAGACGAGCGGGAAGACCCCAGCATTAGAGCCGGCTTCCAAGAGCCCACACTGTTCCGCACAGGTCTGAGAGGCTCACTGTAACCGGCAGACGGAAACAGAGCACAGAGCCACTTTCTATTTTCCAAACCATGAAGCGAGACTTTCCAGAGCTGAAGGTGAAAAAAGACACGCACTTCTCTATCTGCTTATTGTGAATGAAACCTCGTACTTTTGGTACAGCTGAAACTGTCCAGGCAGCTAATGTTAAATGAAAAATACCATATCAGGATCCTGTTTGAATCTGGGAGGCTTGGAATCAGGAAAAGCCAGCCTGGTTTACTTGCTATATAAATAATGGGATGTCTTTCCCTTTTCTGGTGGGAAGCTTCAGCTTGAAAATGGACCAAAGTTAGAACAAAAGCAAATCTATCTTCATGCACTTCCTTCCTACAATGAAAGGAGCTGTTCTTATCCCATTAGCCACAAACGTAAATATTAGTTTGAACCATACGAAATTGCTGATATCTGACCATGTCAGACCTGTAAAAATAGCAATTTCACATGGGTAACCTAAACGCTTTAGATGAGAAACTGAGCTCTGCCTATAACGGAACGCTCTCATTACAGAGGTGTTGAGAGACAGGACCAAAACCATCTTCTATGCTGATGCGTATGTCTGAATCCTTCAGCATGGTGGTAAGTTTTGGAAAATGTTAATTGACCTATGATCTACTACAGATGTAAGGAATAACAAGCTATGTTAAAACAGGATTCATTTAGCAAAGTCTAAGTAGGCAGTAAGATAAACAAATTACTATTTTTTGAGGAAGCACTACAATATGTTTTAGGACACCTGCGTCTTGGCTGGGCCGTAAATTCTCTGAGGCTTTGGGCGGGCCACACCAGTCTCTGAACCCTCGTTTTCTCATTTGTAAAACCACGGGACTGGACTAAATGTCTCTAATACCTTTTTACTCCCAAGTCTACCTTTGCCAGATTGCCCTTTAGGTCCACTAGCAAGTGTCTTTCCGAAGAAGGCAGCCACAAAGCCTCTGGTTATGTGTACACTGTAAGAGATGATGACTCATCTTAAGGATTCCAAAACTCTTGGCCAGAAAAGAAACAGTAAGCAACAGTGAATAATGAGCTGAAAACTTCAGCTGAAGACCTTCTTTAACCCTAAGGCCTGAAGTCACTCTTCATGCGTGGTGGACGGGCAGACACGCACCTCCAAGATGGAGAGGTGGACACGATGACTGACTGCACGCACCCGCCCAGGCCACGGCACAGCACACACTTCTAGTGTCTGAGGCACCACACTACTCGGCCACCCCTCAAGTGGCAGAGCTCCCTCGAGTCTCGAGGAGTCTTGCTTGGAGTGCTTCCAAGCAATGTGAACACGTTAACTTGAGCGGCCGAGCATGAGAGACAATGCCTCCTGGAATACACGATGCTGAGCTGGCCGATATGGCCCTGGGGTTCCTTTACTACCACAAGCCTGAATCTTCGGGTTATGAGTCAGGTAGAGCCAGGTCACAGGGGGAGCAGGCTCAGAAAACATGCGTATCTGACTATTTATCTGTGCGCGTGTGTCTTATCGGCTTTACTAAGTCCAGAACAATGCACTTTTGTGGACCATATTTCTGTTTTATCTGTGCTTTCCCTTCTCCTCACTTGTTGGGCTATTCTACAACCAGTGGCCTACGCTTTTTCTAAGCCTAAGCCTCCCTGGTATATTTTAAAATAAAGTTACCTTTTTAAAAAACGCCCAACTACTCCATGATCAGCAGGAATGAAAGAACCAACAAGCATCCCCAGAACCGCCTGTTTACACGTCCGTCTCCCTCACTGGGTGGTGAGCTCTCCGAGGGCAGGAAGAGGGTCTTTTTCTGCTTAAGAACCTTGGAGTTTAAAGCAGTGCTTTGCACAAAGGCGTCCTGCTAATGTTTAATGAACAAAACCAGTAGCTACGCCTGGATCAAGTGAGGAAACGATCCCATAAAGGTACTGGAACCTTCTTCAACGCCCAAGATCAGAGAAGCCCTCCTGTGCCACCAGGAGGAAAGGCTATGCTAACAGGTGGGCTGGACCAGGGGTCCTCACCTCTCACTCTCGTCTGCTGCCTTCTCGGCCTCCTCCAGCTTCTGCAAGGCTGTTGCCAGACGCTCCTGGGCACGATCCAACTCTTCCTCAACCAGCTGGATGCGTCTGTTCAGAGACGCTACGTCGGCTTCAGCCTGGGCAGAGAGAGAGAGACAGGTGTCTGAGTGCTGGAGGGAGAGTGAGGGCAATGCCCTCAGGAGGGGCTGAGACCGAAGCCCTGGTGCCAGACAGCAAGCCTGGGCCTCATGCTGAGCTACCTTCACGTGGGTTACAAGCCCTGGTCGACTCTGGAGTTGCTGGACAAGTCCATCCTGTGATTTCCGCAGAGAACGTCCACCCTGGGCTACACACAGACCCCCACACACCATCCTCATCAAGCAGGCGGACCAAACGCGCTCTCACATGGTTCCTTTCTTCTATGGGTTTCTCCACGCTGGCTTTACCTGCCTGTTAAAGGAGAGTTTCACTACAGCCACTGCACTTGGTGGGCCTGAGGTGTGGATGGAGGTGATGAAACTGACCTAGCCAGGCTCAGCCACACCAGACAAGAGCGCTCAGTGACAGTGAGACCCGGTCTCAGGAGTCTCAGTTCTCCTTTCTCCCGGCCACTTTCTCAAAGGGGCTTTATAAAGGAACTAAAATATCTTTCAATTCAGTGGTTCTAAAATATACACCATACAGACACAACAAAACCCAGCAGGCCCCCTCCCCTTCAGCAACCCCTTTAGAATAACTGGTCATGCTGGAACAGGGCCAACACAAATTTCTCAAGTGTTTTTTAACCTAAGTCTACTGGAATTTCTCACAGGTCAAGGTTGCTACAAGAAGAGTTTCAAGCTCCTTAGGAGAAAAGCACTGTAGATACTCTTTCTACTTGGTATCTGTCTCTGAAGTAAGATGTTTTTTTCTTGGGGATGCAACAGTTACCATTTGTTACTATGCACCTCGGAATACTTGTATGACTGGATGGTCCATTATATACACTTGCATTGGTGGCTGTTTAAACATAATGCATGGAAGTGAAAGATGGAGTCTGCTAATCCGGTCTCCTTTCCTTGTCCACTCTGAATGTGCGCTGGGGTGATGGGGTTTTCAGGACACTTGAGAGTTTCCTAAAAATCACAACATGCACTTAGGGACCTATGCTAGCTCCATCTACATTCCTGTTTTCCTTACTCAGCATCTTATGTGCAAGGAATTACGATTCTCTGCACAGAGTATGGGCTCAGTAAATGTCTACCGAATACAATGAGTAAAACCAACCTAATTTAAACAAAAGCAACTTTCTTAGCTCCTGGACGCATGATGTACAGTTGCACATGCACGTGTAGTTAGAGGCTGTGATTATGGCCTTGAACTAAAGGAACATGAGAACATTCTGCTCTTTGCTCATCTAGATTTGTGAAATTCTAAAAGCCAAGTTCTGTCTGGGAAAGAGGTGATTAGGGCATCTCCAACCACGGTGAAGGGCTCTCTACAAAAACATTCAAATACACTTTTCTCTTGTCAAAAATTAACTATGTAGTAACAATGGGTTGATAGAGGCAGGGAGCAGGAGGAAATGTGAAATGAAGCCAAGGTCAGTTTACAATTGTACTGGCTCACAGAGTAAATCATTACAGGTGCACAGCCAGTCAGGGCCCCACCAGGCCTGACTGGCAGATGAATGTTGGGTTTTTCTGGAGGAGGGCTGAAGGTAATAGGGGTAACACATATCTTATTTAAAAGATTTTAGCCCCATTTTAAAAAAAACTGGAAGGAGGTATACATTAAGGGTATACTTTTGGGGTCAGGTCAGATTTCTTTTCTGTATTTTCCATTTCCAGTAAAATTCTCTTTCTTTTATGAACAGGGGGAGAACAAGCCACTCTGAAAGCTGAAACTAAAAGGAAGAGTAAAACAAAAACCACTCTCCAAAACACCGCCACCAACAAAAAACTCAGAACGTCTAGGTCAGGTACTCAAGAGTATTTCCCGCCACCCGACTTTCTTAAATATCTCTCTCGCAGGTGTTGCGGCTGGAGAAACGTCAACAGGATTTTTAGAACGATTTTCACAGCAACCCCAACACTCTAAGTTCCCTGCTGTTTTCTCGCTGGGCCCCAACCTGGAGGACTTTGTACTCATAGAAAGGAGACCATTTATGCTCTGGGGAAAGAAACTTCCAGGTGACAGGCCAGGCTAGGTCCCCAGCCTCCCACACAGCTAGGGCGTCGGAGTAAGGAGACAGCTCCCGGTGCTCCGTCCTCCTCTGCACAAATGATCTTCCCCCGAGAGAGGCCCCCCCCATCAATATGCATCTCCCCTCTTACTGTTCTTTCCTTTAGCTCAGACACTTTTATAAACGTCACTAACTCTGTCCCTCCTGGGGCATTTTGCAGACTGTACAGGAGGTTGTGTCCTAGGCCTCATACAGGGCACCCCAACGACGACTGGGAGTGGGAACCTGCTCCAGGAGCCAGGCTGAGGCAACACAGAGAGCAGACCTGTGGGTGGTCTGCAAAACGGGGTCACAGTGGTTTAGCTGGAAGGCCTCGTCCAGCAGTTCCCACAACGGGCTGGGTGTCAGAATTCACTAGGAGCTGCATATTAAAAATACAAATTTCCAGGCCAGATCCCTAGAGATGGTGACTCAAGAGGCCAGAGAGAAGGGCAGGAATCCGCACTACAAAGAAGCAACCGGTCCCACCTCCTCTACCCCACCCACCATCCAGAGGAGCTGGCAAATCCTGTGGGAACCACTCATCTAGCTCTAGGTTAAAGACAAAACAGAAAAAGGGAGGGAACTTTGACCCCAGGGGCTGAAGCGTGCTCAGGTCACACAGCCATCAGCGGGAGAGGAGAGTAACACTCAAGCCCCCTGCTCCTCCTGTGCTGGCTCGCCTCGCTTCTCCAGGCCTCCTGGCACCTCGCGGAAGCGCTGGGATTGGTGGTTCTCACCTACAGGGTCCTTCTGCCTTCTGATGTCAGAGTGGCAGGTTCTCTACAGCAACTCCCCACCCAGCCCACAAGAAAGGTCTTCAGCGAGAGCCAGAAGCCAAGTCCTGCTGCCCCAGAGGTTTCAGACCAGACGGGCAGAGGTGCTTGTAGGTTACAGCCCCGGTTTGAGAGCAGTGTCTGGGGTCCATCTATCTCCAAGTAAGCTTCCTCTAGGAAAAATCTGGCTTCTCAGACCTGACCTGGCTGGTGTGATTGCAATTTGGTTTGGTTCCCTAAAATTCAAGATACACTTAATTCGATAAGTTGATTAAGGGCACTTTATAGTTTTGTTTTTTTGGGGGGGATTATGCTCTGTATTCAAAAGGCTCCCATCGCTCACCTTCGCCAGCTTTTATTTCTGGTATATATTCCCTGAGTTCTGAGGTTTATTTAGGTATTTTCTAAGGTTCTCTTTAATACAGCACATGGGCAGTCTACTTGACTTAACCTAGATAAACAAGATTATACCATATAGCACAGGGAAATAAATACAAGATCTTGAGGCAGCTCACAACGAAAAAAAAAGTGACAATGAATATATGTATGTTCATGTATAACTGAAAAATTGTGCTCTACACTGGAATTTGACACAACATTGTAAAATGACTATAACTCAATAAAAAAATGTTAAAAAGAAAAAAAAAAAGACTTAACCTGCCGTTGCCTCTGCCAGTACAAACCCCACAGCCACATGACCATCTGTTATTTAAAAAGCAGATATAAATAACAAGGCGTTTGGGAAGGGTCAAGACCCCAGAAGCAAATTACTTCCAGGCATGGAACTCACCCTGAGTGCACTGGGTTAGCTTCTAACAACAGCGCATGTATCAACACTGCTGGCAAAGTCTCTCAGCCTGGAATGATGGTTTCTTTTATTTCAAAAGTGCTATTGTGTCCCAACTTGTAATGAGCTACTCAGAAAAAGAGACTGCTATATTAGTAAGGGCTACCAATTGTCTTCCTGCAGATTTGTTGTTAAACCACCACCGGGTGCTCTGCATTTGTGAGCCGGCTTCGATCTGCGTATGTCTCCCCCCATCCTCTGGCAAGGTACCAGCTACCTACACAGAAAACAAGGGCAGGTATACCCCAGTCCCGTCCCAACAAGACACTACACAGAAATCAAGGACATGCCCACACAATAAAGCAAGATACTACTCCAAATCATATTTAAACAAAAACTTTAACATGGCCTAGACTTTCATGAAATCCAGATGTTACAGCCAATACAATTAAAGACAATTTAAAAATAGCAATGCTTTTTACTTCTTAAAAAAAGTTTTCCAGTTAAGATTATTAAGGAAAAAAACTGGAGGAGAATAATACTATATCCTAAAAATAAATCCTCTGGAACATATTTTCAAAGTCCTGCCTGAACTGGAGTGCAGCGTGGGATGATGAAGGTCAAGCCTTTTTACTGCATGCAAACTGTTGTTGTACAGAGACGGTTTCACCCAGCTTACTGTGTAAGACCAAGTCACTACAGCCAAGTTAAACTTCTGCCCTTATATGGTAAGGAAAGGGGGGAAAACACGGATGACATTAAGGGACACTCCCATGGATAAGAGATAAAAACCATCTCCTCAATCTGCACTGAAGCCTGTAATCCACGAGGCATATTTGTATAATGAGCGAGAGGGATGTGAACGGGGCAGTGCCTTCGCCTTGCCTGTGCGTGAAAGCAGAAAGCCAGAGGAGACACTCTCATTACTGCCACCCCATGTGAGCACAAAATGCACTCTTAGATTCCTGGTCTTGGAAATAGTTACTAACTTAAAGAGGAAAGGGCTGGGAATTTTTATAAATTGGTTATTTTCCATGATTTAATAAAGTTGCCAATTAAGAACCTACAGGCTGCAGCTTTAAGTCCCCTCGTTTGCCGGGTACCGTCCAGAAAGGAGGAACGAGAACTGGCTTTTTCTTGCTCCCTTTTTCCCTTTGATAAGGACAAGAGACAAACAAAACCCTACTGGGTCATAAGACCTGGAGCCAACCATTACATCAAGCAAAGTAGCCTCACTCCAACATTTTGAAGGGCCCACACACCTTGGAAAAACAAACCGAGAGGGAAAAAAAGGGATGGCTGCTTTTTCCAAGGTAAGCGCTGGTGTAATAGGGCCAATTAACTACAGCCTGACTGAACCTTTGAGAAACT